TGTAACCTTCAAGTAGTGCTTGTAGTTGGAGAAAGAAGAACGATAGTGATTCGAAGAAGTATTTTTTAATTTGTTTTTTTTAATCTTGGGCCTAAAATACATTTGTTTTTAAGTTTCAAAACGTTCAGCTTCTGTTTTCTTCAGAGACGGTCACAGTAAAGAAGGTAATAATTAGATACTTCTGATAGTTGAGCTGTAGTACTCTATGGAGTACAAAATAGAAATTAAGAGAATTGACACAGAAGCCAGTTTCAAATTATATGGGGTTTTTTTTTTTACCTCCAGTCTGGCATTTGTTGTTGAATTTCATTTTAAAAGGATACTTTGTTCAGCTTTGTCTTAATTTGAGATTTATTTTTAAGATTAAAGATCAGACAATGGGAAGCAATTGCAGCTTATACACTTATAATCTTACTGAGAGTCAACTTAAAAGTATTTAATACAGCTATTTAAGTAGCCTCTTGTCATTTGTTTTACGCCAGTTAGTTGTAATTTCTTTCTGTAACAYGGACTGTTATAAACATTGCAAAAAATGCTTATTATCTTTATGTATAATGCATTCTCATGAACAAATTAGATTTTTTTTTCCATGAGTGAACTATAATATGAAATTTAATGTTMTGACCTTTCTTGTGCTGGGTTGCTGAAAACAGTGTCATTTAGCTTTTCTGAAAGCCCAAGCATATTTTTGTTGTTGGCTTAAAGCATTGTTTTATATTGTTGCTTTTAATTGCWGGGAAGAAAGTAACATTACACATGTAATTTTCACACTACTTCTTAATATATGCAGGCTTTAAAGTTCTTGCAGTGTAAAAGAAAAACTCTTATTCTTTTTTTTTTAAATCCTGGGAGCYCTGATGGCCAGTATTCTTGTTAATGACAGTCATTTCTCTGGCAGGAAGATGTTTTTATTTGTATTTACTTTCCAGTTCAGGGCAATTACAATGCTCTGTGTTGTGTACTCTTCTTCTTATTCTTCGTAGTTTCTGTCTCAAAAGAATCACATTGCTTGGAGCAGAACTGCAGCTCGAAGCAGGTGTTGTGGTTTACTGTTATGCAAAATAACACTAAAATATAATTGCAAAGGAAATTCAGGAAACAGCTGCAAACTTGGGGTGGCAACCAGTGCATTATGTGAGCAGTTGTTGCRGCATCTTCCATCGCATCCAGGGCAGCAGGGATTTGTTTCAGCAGAGCTCACCGGTGCTAATTTTTGCTGTTGAAACCTTGTTCTCACTAGAGAGATCTGCTGGGTCTTACAAGGGAGCACCAGACCAAAACCACAGTTGAGATGCTGTACCACCTCTCTAGTGACAGTTTTTAAATTTATGTTTTAGTTTCATCTTCTTTTTTTTAATTTTTTTTTTTTTAATTTAAATATACTTCTTTCCTTCCCATGCTAACGAAGATGAAAGCTAGAACCCAGTTCCTGGAATGAAGGTTGCACAATGTCTTAACCCAACTAACATATGGAAGCCTACATAGGCCCGAGGTGGTAAAATAGTAAAATAAATGGCYTATAGCCGGCCATCTGCCATTTGCAGAGCATATTCATCCTGCTTCATGCCAAACTGGAAATTGGTCTTTGTATTAAAAATATATTTTGAATACAAATCAAAGATTTCAACTGCTTCATGTTACACGTGGCCAACACATTTCTTTCTGGGAGTTAGAGAAGTGCAGGAAAATCGAGAAATCRAGTCATTCTCTTCTCTTTCCCATCTCTTTGTCTTTCCAGGAAAGCACTGATTTACTTTTGTAAAAATGCACTCCAGATATGAAAAGTCCACTCTTGCATGTGGCAGCTGAAGGGAGGAATATCAATGGATTGTGAGCGTGGTGRTTTCATGTCAGTCCTTGCAGCACCTCCCAAATGAGGATCTGCTTCCTAAATGGGGCTTTTAAAGAGTTGCTCATCTTGAAAGTGTTCTTGGAGCATCAGCTGATCAATTTTCACTCTGAAAGGGAGGCAGCTGAGGTATCCTCACTTTATTGACTGCAGAAATCGAAGCTCAGATTTTGTGCAGG